GCAGAACCACTGCTGCTGGCCGGGGGGAAAGATGATTTGGTACATCAGCAGCAAGGAGGTTCTTATGAACCCTTGCAAGGTACCTGAGGAGATTGCTCCCAGGGAGCTCAGCAACACTGTTAAGGGAATTAGCAAGAGAATGATGGTGCTTGGGATCTTCAGGTGTCTCTTGGATGTTGCTTGGTTTTGAGAGAGCTTGTTGACATTGGACACTTTGGAGGTGTCTTTCCTATCCCTCTGGAAGCCATGAAGGCTCTCAATTGTGTCCTGTGCCTCTTGTTGAAGGAGCTTCCTCTCAGCAGAATTTAGGAGGCTACCAAGAGCTCAGTAATGCCCAGAAATATTTAACTTAGTTAGCAAGGGAGGCCAGGTTTGTAGAAATTTGGGAAGACCCCTTGGTAGCTAAGGAGTTTGGGATGCTCTGCCTGTGACTCTGAGGTTCTGGAGTGCTCTGGATATCCAGATACCTTTAAAAAAATCCAGCACAGCAGGTACACCAGGGTAGCGTTTCAGTAACGTGCTGTTTAGCAATAGCCTGAAAGGATCTTCTCCTCCCAGGCTTCAAGTGCTGGGTATGATGCTCATTTTCTCTGGTGGCCCTTTTCACAGTACCTTTGTGCTAATAAGAGACTGGACCCTTACCTTCTCTTAGGCAAAAGCACTGTGTAAAAGAACATATTTAAATAATTGAAAAGTGCTTTTCTCCATTCGTTGTCTTTGCATCGTGTCCTTGCTGAGCGTGGTTATGTGTGCTGTGCTCAACAGAGCCAGTTGTCAATTTCTCCCAATTGGTCAAGGGCCTGAGGAGTGAAATCGGCAGCATTCAAAATGAAGCAAAACTCTGCTGGCATTAGATTTTGTAACAAAGTCAAATTTTCCCATGGTTTATTTTGAGAATTTGTTATGGTATGCAACTTGGGCCCAGATGCAGGCGGTGATGGCAGGACAAAAATCCTCCCCTCGCCACGAAGGCATACGTTTCTGGGGCACTATTTGCAATGTGTTGGTCCCTCTGCGTGAGGAGAATAGCTGGCCATTTCAACAGAGGCTGACCTACTGCCTGCTTAGAGACTTACACTGTCTTTCTACAGAAGTGCTGAGCACGTATAATTCCCAGTGACTCCTTTGCAAGCAAGCTGTGGGTTTGACAGGTTAGATCCATAGTTTGGGGGATTTTTATCACATTTAGTGACATCTGAAAAATGGCAGATTAAAATACAATTCAATCTTAACCCTGTCTGCAGATTAGCATTTTAACCAAGTTCCCACTGTGCTGTATGAACTGCATCAGAGTGCCTTTCCTTATAAGAAACTATCGCTTGAGCACAACTCTGATGCAAGAGCAGATCAATCTGCCCCTTTAGACTGTGGTTGCTCTGAAGTTTTGGACTTGTCCTGAATACCGAATTTAAAACAAAGTTTGAGAGCCTGAAAACCTGCGCCGACTGAGAATAAGGTTTGTGCAAACCCCTGCCAAGCGATAAGGCAGCTCCCCCTGGCTCTGAGAACTGAACTTTCGTCCCCAGTGATGCTCAGGTGTGAGGGGAAGATGGTGCTTTTGTGAAAATCCTCAGTCCTGCAGCTCTGGGTTAAGTGGAGCCTCTTGCAAAGAGCTGTGCTGAGAGTCCTTCACCTGTAGTTTACCAGTGGGAGAGGAGGCAAATCAACAGTTTGCTTGAAAAAATATCTTTACAATACAGCACATTGATTATCAAACATATAAGTAAAAGGTGCCAGGTCCACTGCTTGGCAGGTATTTGCATTTTGCATATCTCTGCTTGGATTCTGACTCCAGAGACAAAATCTGGTTTTCAGAAAGCTTCTTCCTGCTGTGTGTTTGACTTGGGCTTAGATGGGTTGCTAGGTCTTTGGATTGCAAAAATCAGATCGGATGCTCCTATCTTTGTTTTCAGCAACAGGGACAAACTTTGCCCTTTGCAGTGCCTGCAGGGCAGCAAGTAATGAATGTTTACGGGAATGCTGGTTAGCTCTGATAATAACCTGCCTGACCTTGCTGGGGAGAATCCCTTCTGCCCTTGAAAGACAGAAGTGAGTCTCCATCTCTGTAGCTGGGAGCCACCTGCCTTCAAGGCCTTTCACAGCAGAGGGCATGTGGAGATGGTGCAGGCTGGGGAGGCTCTTCCTTGCCTACCTGCTCTGAGGGCTGGCTCGCTTGCTGCTCACATACCACTATGAGTATAGGCATGACAGCCTGTTAGCCGTTCAAAAATCTACCTTAAACCAGGTAAATTTCCCTGTACGTCTGGGAAAAAGTTGTGCTCTATCCTGCTGTACTGCTACATGAGCTACCTGCTTTCAAACCTAGCTGGTGCCTATCTTGTTGCTCCTTCTGCTCCCCTGCTCAGCCAAATGCTGCCCCTCCTCTGGCTTCAGTAATGCTGTCCCTTCTGCAATGAATAGCCTCCTGTCACCCCTGCAAACAGGAAACGGGGCTCTCAGCTTCTGGGCACAGGCTCTCCACCGTGGGTCTGAGGGACTAGGGACAGCCCAGCTTCTGCCTCCGTATTTACTGGGCATGCTGAGGGCTTTTTCTGCAGGAGAAGCAGGGTCTAGCAAGAGTGCTCAGGCCTCACCAGCACTGGAAGGAGCATAGCACTTGCTAGGAGAAGAAGGAATATCTAGTGTGTGTTTTCTCTTTGTATCTCAAGGCAGGGCTGCCATCCCATCACCTCTGCTACCACTCTGCCTCTTCCATTTTCTGCACTGAGCACTGCCTTCATGGTCACAGGATGGGTACTTCAGCATATCCCCACATCTTCAGAGGCTCCTGGGAGGTTCCCATGGAAGGAGAGGGGTTTGCACCTGGAGCCTGCTTTCTCATACTGAGCTGTTCAAGGTCTCCCCTCTGGCAGAGAAGGTAGGAACCAGTTTCACAGACTCCACATGTTCATTTCCTGCTACCCCTGGGATTTAATTTTGGGGTTCCCTTCAGGTGCCTTGCTTTCCCTGCCTACCTCCACAGGACAATGTCACACTGTACCAGTAGCTAAGGGAAGCTCTGCGACAACAGGCAACAGAGCAGGTGACCTCTCTCATGGAGTCCCAGAGACTGGGCTACCACAAAGAAGTTAATCAAATAAGCAGAGATGACACATGAACAAAATATTACCCTCTAAAATTCCTCCCCTTGTCATCTTCCTGCACATCTCTGTGCTCTTTGTGGTTTTCTGCCACTGTGTGTGCTTGTGTGCAGCAGCCTGTATAGCTGAGCATGCTTCTTCTGGTAGGCTTTGTCCTCTTCTATTCTTCTTGCTTAGCCCTCCCTCATCGAATCTGATGCCATTGATTTTAGATAAGGTCTTGGGGAAAGGTCTGATGGGTTTTGCTCTGGTTTTACGCAGCAGGCTTTGAGTTCTGGTTGGGAGCCATTGAGCACTGCTGCTATATTAAATGATGGTCTGTGATAGGAATGCAGTCACCGCTTAATACCCCAAATTGCTGCTTTTAAGTGGGCAGGGTTTGGCTTTTGGCCAGATCTCTCTGCTCCTGGCAGAAAAATTCATTACCTTGTTCTGGCAAATGTATTTTCATCTGCTAGTTTAAATCTGATTTCTAGTACTCTGTGTGGTTCTCACAGCTGAGGAATTTCCTGCCCTTTATCCGCCTGTTTTCTTCCAATCTAGGCTAAAATCAATACACTTAAATAAATAAAGCCATTGGGCTTGCAAGTACCTCCTGCTGTGTCAGCGGCAGAAGCTGAGTGACCAAAGATTAGTTAAGCCGTTTTCTTCTTCTTTAAGTAAATCTGCTGCTGTTGAGGCACCCCAGACTGGCCTGGGAAACAGTATTTCTCTGCTTGACCACAGCAAGGAGAGTTTACCAGCCAGCAGATCCGAGGGAATGCCTTGGCTTCCCGACAGTGGCAGCTGTCTCCATTGGGGAAAGGTCCCTGTCCTGGTCTGTCTCCACCCCTACCCCTTAGGGTTAAGTTTGAGCATGGTTTTCTGACACAGATGCTTTGTGATGGGGATATTCTGCCACTGAGTTCAAGAGGACGGAGGCCACAGGGGCACTTCCCTGGTGTTGCTTTCGCTTCTGCTCTTCCCTGGCAGACATGCTTTTCAGGACTGCTGCTTCAGAGGGGGTTGTAGAGTGTGTGGTAGTGACTCCTTCCCACAGCTCTGGTCTGTCTTCCAGATGGTGATGCTGGCAGGAGCATCCTCCACCAGGATTCATGCATCCTTTTCTTCTGGGGCCAGGGGAAAAGGTGAGGGTGGCATGAAATGAGGTCTTCTCTTTCCTCCCTAATGCCAGGAGTTGCCCCCCAAGCATTTAGTTCAAAAAGGAAGAAACAGATTTGGGATTTCTAGACTAAGCCTCAGGGGTTCTGCAGCCCTGCTCTTATGCATGGGGCATGGAGAAATGGGGGTCTTCTTGGTGAGCAATGGGGTATATTCCCTGCCCTGGATTCAGTGCACTGCCATGCCCTGGGCAGGAAAGACCTCAGTGCACAGGAAAACAGATCCTCTCCTGTCTACTTGGGCAGACCCCCCAGTTCTCCACAGAGCCCAGTAGCTCAACTTTGCATTCATATGAAGAAGAGCAGTGGTGCTTTTGAGCCTCTGTCCAGTACCAGTTTCCAAATCGCAGTGTAAGCCCTGATCCAAAGGTCCCCCTTTGACTTGGGGCAATTGTTCAGAGATGTCTCTGTGCAGTAGCTGTGATAACATTTAAGGATAGGAGAAAACTTCCTTTCTACTAGTTTTTGTTCATGCTGGGGTTTTTGGGTTTTGGTTTTTTGAACTAAATTGAAAATGTTAGTGACAAACATAAAACTTTTTTATTCCTCCCCTCACCATTTGCTGCTTAGTTTTTGAGGAAAAACTGTTTCATAAAAACACGTCCTATTTTTTCTTCCCTTATCTACCCAGCTCTGGCTGCAACTCAGTCTGGGAGCAAGTAGGATGTGTTATGACCCAGCGGTTCAGCACAGGCAGGGGAATGAAAGTGCAATGTCTTCGCTCCCTCCTTGCCAATAATTGCAGGGCCTGGAGATGAAAGCGTTGAGGTGTGCAGCGTCGTGCTCTTGGCAGAGAGGTAAGCAGGATGCCACATCACTGCTGTGATATTGCAATTCTGTGTCATGATGGTAGATGAGATTTCCAGAGCCTGCCATCCCTTGGTCTTACTGGCTTGGGTTGGGATGGCCTCAGGTGCCCGGAGCAGTGAGGGCACCATGCAGGGAGTTGTGCTGTCTTTGGCAAAGCTGCCCTAGCAGTTCCTCTAAAAGTGAGTATGGACATCACAAGCTGTGGCCCAAGCTGGAGAGATGCAACCGAGTGGAAAGGAGACAGGCTCTGTTTACGCACAGATACCTGTGCAGCCAGCAGCGTTAGTGAGAGAAAACAGAAAAGGACATGACAGATACACGGGGTTTTTATTAAATATTAAATGGAGTGAAGTTTTCCAGAGTGTGTCTGGACTGTTTTCAACTGCCTGTCTGACAGCAAGAGAGAGAAGCCAAGTGGGTGAACCCTGGGTCTGGGAGTGCAGGGCTTCCTGCTCAGGAGCTGTGATATCTGGCATCAGCATACACTGGGTTGTCTGTGCAGCTCCTCTTGTTTCACCTACAGCAGCAAGTGCCTCCACCAGCTGTCCCACCACTGGTACAGCCTGAAGAGAAGACTTAACTCTCTCAGGAGTCTACAGTGAGAGATCAGAAGAGGGAGATAACTGAATTCCTAGGGCCAGAGCATCACCGGCACAGGCTGGAGCTGGGATTACAAGCAGCAGAACCCTGGTTCCTAGCTGGGGAATTAATCACTCCTGCACCCCTTTCTGCCAGGTTTAACACAGAGGAAACATCCCGTGCATAAGGAATACTAAATAACTGTTGTAGCCCCTTTTGTGTGCAGATGTGACCCAGCCTGGGCACAGCCCTCCCATCCCTCCCCATCCCCACCACTCCCCTCTGTGTAGCCATGCCTTTCCTTGTGCAGAAGCTTAGCGGGGTGGCAAGAGGAATTCTCCTAACTTGGATTGGGTTAATAAGTTAAAATGCAGAGCCTTAATCCCTGCTGCTAAATCAGAATGTAATTCAGCTTATAACCACAGCCCAATCCATGTGAATTACAATCATTTTAAATACAGCCAGGGCCATCCGGGATTTAGCATCCTCCCAGGAGATCCTGAAAATGGAAACTGGGACACAGTGCTGCTCTGGGTGAACCTGCCGTCAGAGGGAGCCGAGACAGTAGGGCAGAGGGATTTTGTTACCTCCCAGGACCCCTGGAGAGGGAGATCCTAGGGTGCGACTCTTGGTCAGGGCACATAGCAGCAAGATGTGTGTGAGACTCAGGCAAGAGCTTATCTCCAGGGAGGGGTACAGAGGCTGCTGGCAAACCCACAGCACTTTTATCTTTAATTTAGGATGTTTATCTCAAGAGATTCTTCAAGCTTTAAAACAAATGTAAGGAGATCTTTGTTTGCCTGGCAGCATCTGGCCTCTGAAAGCAGGCACGTACAGTTCTGGCAGCACGGCTGATAGCAAAGGCTTGTCCTCTGCCTCCTTCCTCCCAACTTTAACCTCTGTCAGGATGACTCTTGCTCTCCTTCTGCCTGATCCAGGAAACCACTAGAGAAAAGGGTCTTCCCACAGCTTGAATCAAGTGGGCACCTGGCAAGTGGTCCCGTAGGTGCCTAGGAAGATCTCTTACTGCTTTCACTGTTACATTGTTCAGTCCTAGCTCTCACAGCTTTGTTATTCAGTCCTGATGGGGAAAGAACAATTGTTCATTGTCTGCTTGCACCGCCCCAGCCTGGAAAAGCAAAGGTATGGGAGCAGTTGAGTCCTTCTGCCACCACTGACCCACAAGCATTCCCTGGGAGCCTCAGGCAGAGTCTGGGAGCATAAAAATTCAAAGGCTCCACAGAAATTGAGGGTCTTGATGGATGCTCTTCCAAGCATTGAACTGGAAAGTCCCTGTGGGAACAAGGCGTTACTCCTGTGGGCTGTCAGGCAGAGATAGAGAGTTCAAGGAGTCCAAGTTACTACACTGAGGAGAGGCTAGAAAACAAGCTTTTCTTCCCAGACTGATGCCTGTGTTTGGACATTTTTAGGCAGATTCTGATGGTTTTCTTCATGTCACTTTTTTGTGGTTTCCCTATAATTTGTCTTTTTCCAATAGTGAAAGGCTAGTGCTGCTCTTCTAATACCTAGCCAAATGAGAATTCACAGTAATTTCTCAAAGCCTAGCTTGTAGAGTGCCTGATGTACTGGGCTGGAGAGCTTGTGAGTTTTCTGTGGGTGTGATGAGCGAATGGAAATGATCTGAGTTCTTGGGTGCTTTCCCAAATCCAAGCTAGCGAGTTTTCTATGTTTAGATATGGTTTACTTAGCAGCACTGGTAGAGTGGAGAGAAGGGCAGAGGGTTTTCAGGCACTGGCAGGGTGTAACCGGGGTATTGTGGCCTGGGATAGATCAGCAGTGGTATAGCAAGGACCTCAGGGCCTCCTCTCTGAATGGCCACAGGGGCTTGCTGAGAGGTGAAAGGAGTGATGGAAAGGACTTTGAATGGACTCCAAGGGGTTCAGCCCTTCCTCCCTAAAGGGAAGCAGCATACCCTGAGAACACTCGGAGTCCCCCAGGCCTTTCTTTCAAAGCTCCCAGTTAAAAGCTTCTGAAGCCTTTGTTCCATTCCATAAAGAAGGTCAGCCTACCAGGGTGGCCTGGGCACAGCAGAAGCCACAGAAATGCTGAGATACCAGGACAGGTGTAGGGACACCAAAGAGAGAACTCATGGAGATCTGGATGATGGAGCAGAGATGCACCATTGTTTGCCTGACCTGCCCAAACAAGCAGTGGTGGGAGAGGGGCTGTAGTGTGTGGTTAGCCAGAGCAGAGTGCAGACGAGGGCAAGTGTGAAGGGCTGCAGTGTCTGCTCTCTGGAAAGCATCACCCCCAGCTGGAGTTGTCTGCAGCCACCCTCCCGACTATGCCTTAGCACAGACCTATACCATGTAGGGAAACATGGATCTAAGGTCACCTTCCTCCCAGGCACTGAGATTTTGGGGTCTTAGTCCAACAATGTTTGCTGGTGCAGCCTGAGACTGCTCCTGTCCCAGCCAGGGCTGGAGCAGCACTAGGGCCCTGGGCTAGAAGAGGATGAACTTCCCAGCTCCTCAGACAAATCATGTGTATGGCTCCCATCTACACTACTCTTGGCTTCTTACAGAAATATATAATCAGCTGATGAATCTCTTGCCAGGCAGCTGGGCCAGCTTGGCCCCACAGTTGTTCTTCTGACATCCTCCCTGTTGTCCACCAATATGTCCATGTGCATCATGGCCATTACCCCTCTCAACAGCAGGCTAGGCATTAACCAGACTTAGTAATAAGGAGGTTTTTGTTCTGCTACTCATCACATTATTTTTTTTCAGTGCTTTACAACCACATTGTTAGTTTCCCCAGAGATTTCAGAGTGCTGTGAGCAATGCTTCCCCCTTCTTTTGCTGGTCTAACTGCAAAAGGGAGAGAGATTCTCACCCAAGCAAGGCCAGGATGGCATTGCCTTCATTCCTGAGGCAGGGGATCACACCACTTGCCATTGGGGCTGCCCATCCATGCACACTGCATGTCTGGAAGGAAGGTCTCATCTATCTATGGATGAATCATGAGATGTGTTTTGAGATGAGGGTTGTCCCAGGACCTTGGCTGCATGAAGAGGCCAAGCTGACCCTGAAAATGGATATGTTTCTTGGCTTTGTCCCATGGTGTTCCCTCTTTTACACTGGTCCCATCAGCAGGGATCTATCTGTGGCAGGGCAGGAGGTATGACAAAGTACCAGATGGCAGGCTAATCCATGCAGCCATCTGCCGTCATCGCTCCATGTGACGGCTCAGGGCAGAGGGATGCAATCTCTGTGCTGGTTACTGGAGAGGGCACTGGGTAGCTTGAACTGACCACACACACCTCCCGCATGTGAGACGGCTGCTGTGCTGGATGCCCACAGTAACTAGGGTAGAGCACTTGCCCACCTTGGACAAGAAAGCTGTGTTCCCCTGGACCCACCTGAGCATGTGATATCCCCACAGCCGAGCCAGGAAGCGTAGCTGTTTCCACCTTCCAGGCCAAGATGAGAGGGCATGCTCAGTCCTCCCAGGGCATGGTGGTATCTCATCTTAATCAAAACATTTGCTCTTAATGGGCATGCTGCCCTGGCTGGAGCTTCATGCTTCCTGGGAAACTCTACCATACAGGCCCCGGCAATTATTTCTTTCTGAGATTGCTGCTCCTATGCATGCCCAAAGATGCCTGGCTGGAGAACAGCCTACAGTGGTCAAAGGGCAGGGTTTTCTGTTTGTTTGTTTGTTTGTTTGTTTTTTAATAGGCTGCTTTGCTAGGTTGCTCACTTTAAAGACTTTTCTTATTAAGTTTCCTCTCTGGGCGAATGTTAAAGTGCACCTTTTCCATCAGGAGGCTGCCCAGCCCCACCAGCGGCAGAACTCGCAGGCTGGCAGCAGGCAAGCCTTACTGAGGGCATGGTACAGCATCCCTATTGTACAGTGTGGAATTATCCCTTATCCCACACAAGGGATGCTGCCACACACAAGTGAATATTGACAAAATAAGGCTTCCAAGTGATTCTAGCAGGGAATTACAACATCTACTCCATCCTTCTCACAGGCTGCAATACTGGGAGGACTAAGCGATTTCATGTGAGTCTGGCCCTAGCTGCAGTTTCTCCTGTGCTGGCAGAGCCATAAAGGCCACCACAAAGGCTCCAGGGAGATCATCTTAAAAGAGGAGGAGATCAGAGATAGTAGGACCACTATGTGCTCAACCCTTCTCCCTACAGTGCAGTGATGAAGCAGAGGGTAATGCCAAGACAGGCTGAACTCCTGCTCTTGCCTTCCCCAAAGACAACCTCAGGACTAGAGTGCTCTCGTCAGCAATGACACTGGTCCCTGCTGATGCTGAGACATGTGTAGGTGCAAGACTGGCACGGGGCTGGCTTTGCTCTCCTCTGCTCTGGATGTACCTCTCAGTTCTGTCACTGCTCAGCACTGAGATGCCGTTTGAGAATAACAAATAACT